CTATACGCCGTATACGCGGAATCACTAAAATGGCCATATCTCGCGAGTTTATGGCTATCAGCCCGAGATATGGAATTTATATTTTTTATTTGGCTTAAACTACATGATTAGTGGCTTTTTATTAAGATATCAGTCGACAAGCTCATACCGTTCGCTCGTAAATAACATTTGCAACCATGGTAATACAATAAACACCTGTACAATCTAATAGCTTTGTTAACATTGAAAACAATACCATGTGTTGATCATCACACAAATATTGGTCAGTAAACGATAACAATAAAGATAAACTTACAAGTTAGAACAAATATTTCTATTATAAATGCAATGTTGACAGGGTATATAAGTCCGTAACACAATTAATAGGCATAATACAAAATATCACCATGGGTAAATTAACATTGTTACTTGTATTATGTGTATGCATAGCCGGGTCGCTGCAATCGCCGCGCGGTTTCCGCAATGTTGACCACTTAATTGAATACATAAACAACGCAAACACTACATGGAAGGTGAATTAATTTTATTAAAAAATTGTGCTTAGGTCAGTTACTAGAATAATTAACACTTATTTTATTCAATGGAAAGGCTGGCAAAAACTTTGACGACTCGTATTCACTGGAGTACGTGAGGGGACTGATGGGTGTCCGACGCCCGGTGGGGGCACTGGATTACGTGGAGAGTCCGGCGCCCGTCTACTCAGGCATAGACATACCCAAGGAGTTTGACCCGCGAGTACAATGGCCCGAATGCAAGTCACTGTCGGAGATTAGAGATCAGGGATCCTGTGGTGAGTGCCCGGGAAAATAGGGTCAATAGTTGTAATCATTAACTAAAGCACCGGTACTTTTGTCTAAACAGGCGGCTGTTGGGCCTTCTCGTCAGTCGAGGCCATGACTGACCGGTTGTGCATCGCATCAAAGGGCAAACAACAGGTGGAGCTGTCGGGCGAGGATATGGTGGCCTGTAGTGGGGCCGGCGGTTGCGGCGGTGGTTGGCCCGCATCGGCCTACGGTTACTATATCAGGTCCGGTTTGGTGTCCGGCGGTCTGTACGACTCCCACGAGGGCTGTCAACCCTATACCATAGCCTCGTGCGAGCACTACATCACTGGCCAACGGCCGCCCTGTCATAAGCACTACGACCCGACACCCAAATGCCAGCACTCTTGCGTCACCGGCTATAACGGCACCTATCAGTCCGATAAACACTACGGCAGCAAACAGTATAGCTTTAGTAACAGGAATCGTGATGTGCAGGCTGATATTATGACCAATGGCCCAGTAGTCGCTGTGTTTACCGTAGGTTTTTTATTTAAAAATAATATTTATTTTTAATTATTTTCATTTAATATTAATTACAAATACTGTTTAATTAATTGTATTAATAATTTACCTTGATTGATAGGTTTACGAGGATTTCTTGCAGTACAAGTCCGGTGTTTATAAGCACCTGACCGGCGATGTCGCGGGTCTGCACGCCGTGAAGATCATTGGATGGGGTGTGGAGTCGGGTGTGGACTACTGGCTGGTGGTCAATTCATGGAACCCCGATTGGGGTAATAAGGGTTACTTCAAAATCGCCCGTGGTCATGATGAGGGTGGTATTGAGGGTGATATTGTAGCTGGTTTGCCCAAGTTGTAAATTCTTGTTTGCTTTAATTGTTTCAAGCAATAAATTAAATGTTCAAGTAGACTAAATATAAAATATTACCATCATAAATAAATTGATATATTAATTTATGGATAATTGAATATAATTGTGATTGATATTCCATAATTATTTCTTGTGTATTCTAAATGAAATGTTTGTTAAAATTATTTGTTTAGGGTTCTTTAGGCAATGGACTATTTGCTCTGTATCATGTTAATTATGTATTATATGCTTTTACTATATTAGCTATTTATATCTAAACCGTATAACTATAAAGTGACTTAAATAACTTATTGATTTATGTTTATAAGATGCGATATATATATTGTTTTATAGATGTATTGATACTAGGAACATAATATTTAAACCATAAAGGTCAAGGGATAAAGTAAAGTAAAGCATCCTTTTATTGGAATCATTATCAGCACTGCTGGTATTCTTAATAATCCAATTACATTTAGTGTTTTGATATACAATACATATTACATATTTCAAACTTTTCTTATATACATATCATATAACATATAGTCTATATTCTACTGTTTGTGTGAAGCGGTGTTATGTAGGCGTGTTGTCTGTATAGTATGTGATGTCATGTGATTGTCGTTCGAATAGTTGGACTTCTCATCGATTTGATCTTCGACTTCAGACCAGGAGCTCGTATTACTGGGAGTCGAACCCCCATCCTGTAGGCCCGGGAGTGCAATGATAGCACAGTCCAAAGGTTACCCCATGGAAAACCAACTCTGCGCCATCGCCAGACCGTATTTGATAGTTTCATAAGACATACAATTTATTATTTTCAAACAACATGTTATTGTTTTAAGTAAGTGTTTTGAAAACATATTTCAATCAATTGTATTAGTGTTACACCCATTATATTGACATTGAGGGCGATTTAATTATCAAATAAAACATAATTATGCTAAAATAAACAAATGAATTGTTATAATTAAATGGATAAATATTTATATATATTAATTTATTTATTATCTTTTTGCATGTTTTTCAACAATTGTCTCAATAATTTCGGGCAGTTTTGCGATACTATTATCCGATTGTATTCTTTGCGATATTTTAATTAATTTTTCATTCAATTCCTTATTATTTAATAGACTTTCGATTGCATTCAACAACTCTTCCTCTGAGCACTTGTAGGCATCGAGTCGTATACCAAACCCTTTCTCGTGAACTCTCTGCGCGTTATCGTATTGATCGACAAATAGTGGCATAACTATAATAGGTTTACCAAAATAAAATGTCTCGGTAATAGTATTATTCCCACCATGGGTTATGACCAAATCAACTAACGGTAACACTTGTAGCTGAGGTACAGACCCCTCGCCCCACATATTGTCAGCCAATGAGTACTGGTTATGAAGCGGTCCTTTCGATACAATAAACCTGTGCTTAGATTTGGACAAAATAGTCACTAATCTCTTCATATTGTCCACATCTGCCGCACCCATAGATCCTAATGAAAAGTACACCAATTTTCCCGGTCTGTCCGTTAAGGGAACCGGTATTTCAAACGGTATCTGTTTATCATTTCGCATGAAATGTTCAAATTGTCGGTGATTTGGAGGCAATGGCCGGATGTCTATGTAATCCAATTCTTGTGGAAATGAATATATGTTTAGAAACGGCGAGGGATTGAAAAACTCGTATCTCTTCAATGGCTTTACACCACAGGAAACGATATAATCATTGAATTTACGCCAAACCTCTTCCGACGCTTCGCTCACTGTTTGCCGAAATATTTTCCACTCGTTTTGATCGCTAATTATTTCCTAATTAAATAAAAATTGACATTGTTTATAAAAATTAATAAAACTAACATAAGACTTGTAGTAGACCACATGAACATACCCCAATTTATACATGCTATATTTACAATGTTACAATAATCTACTTGCTATAAACTAATTTACAGTTTGGGATAAATTAAAATTAACAAAAAGGTTTATTTATAACATACATGGTAGAGAGGTTTGACTGTAATTAATAATTATTCTGAAATTACCTGATCCTTCTGGTGGTGTCCTCTCATCGGGAATTAGGAACAATGGATTGCAACTACACGTCCAAACCCAGGGTATGCCCGACGCCTCCACCACCGGTACAGGTACCACATGGTCTACAATGATAACATCGGGCTTAACTTTGGCAATTGTTTCCCTTAAAATCGGGTCCAACTGTACAATCTCGGTATGAAAGCTGTGAGCATTCTTAGTCCTTATATCGACCATTTTATCCAGGGTTGACGCGTTCGTAGCGAATTGGCCCTCGTTCAATAATTGTCGTGCCCTATGACCGGCCACTTTAAAATCATCACCATGGTCATCCGCTTTGATTTGACATTGCTCATTATTGGTATTATTGATGATGTCCGGTGCGGTGTATATGATTTCATCGAAACCATATTTTGTCTCAAGTTTTCCCCTCCAGTGTTTAGTCACAAAAAACACGGGCCGATGACCGCCGGCCGCCAACGCTTGGGCTATACCTATGGCTGAGTTTACGTGACCGACGGCGTCGACCGGGAAAAATAAAACTTTATGACTTTTAACCATATTGTTTTATCGGTTTTTCTATCTAATGGTTTTAATTATACTTGATGTAATTTTATTTATATGTTTCTATTTAATTTTGTACTATTTATATACTTTACGATCAATTTTATATGTATACTAATATTTTTGCAATTATGCACATTTTTGCACATAAGTTTGATACACTTAAAATGTACTAGAAATTATTGATGAGTACAATTTTCCCCCAATTGTACTTATTTAATTTTATAATGTTTTACAAAACTAAATAATTGTGAATTTATATAATTAATAGTATAAAATAGGCGATTTAATTTATTGCAATATTTATTGTTAGTTAGTGAACTATTTGCTATTTAATAATTAATATTAAAAATGTTGTAAATTTATTTACAATTTATTGGCTAACATGTAATTTATATGAATTAATTAACCTGTTATATCTACCATACAAGTTCAGTTGTCATTTTAACAACAGATAGAGTGTGCTAAGAATGTACTTAAAATTAACCTTTGATTATGTAATCAAAATTATAAAGCAGTAATGTTAGTTATAACTAGTTAGGCACAGTAAATAATCTCTCTCTCTCTCTCTCTCTCTCTCTCTCTCTCTTCTAATTTCTCACAATTTTATTCATTTTGTATTAATACAATTGTTACGAGCTGTTTAAGCTTAAAATCCCATTACTAAACTTGCTAACTTAACTAAAAGAATTAAACTAAATTCATTTTAATTACCACTATTATTTTAAAAATCAAAAATTTTAAAAATATTTCTTATTTATTAATTGGGAATGTATGGCATTAGTTGTATTAAACAATTGTTTTATATTTGCCTATGAAATATATTTCATAGAAATGTTTAAACACTTGTATCATAAAGTGTATCATAAAATGTATTATAAAGAAATACTTATTAAACATTTATACGTTAAGCCTTTTATTTTACACATTTTTAATATTAATATTTTGTTATAGTTTTTAATTAATAATAATTTATTTAAATTTTTTGAATCTCTCTCTCTCTCTCTCTCTC